GTATAATACTACAACTAAGAGTGCATTCCCAGAGATTTAGATTGATCCAGAGATTTAGATCTGGATCAACCTAACTCCCTGGGGGTTCATGCTAAATTGCAGTCAGCCTAGCGCGCACGACAGTTAATTACCACCTTACAGCTTTTAGTAGGCGGGACAGATGCTTAAGCCGGCTAAGCTGACAGTAATCTAGTGAGACTCCCCACAGGGATAGATCGATCTAAAATCTGTGGGAATGGGGTCTAATACTATTAATAACAAAAACTAAAGAAATAAAGGTAAATAATTAAGTTACAACATTCCATTTGAACACATTTAATTTTTTATCGAATCAAATAAGAGAACACATACACTAATAAAAAAAAAACTAATAAACATCATAAAACACATAATGCCCACTAACTCCAATGTATGCTGTCCCTGAGCTGACATATCCAACATCAAGGTTGTATTATGTGACCTTGACCCATGATCTCCAGTCCCGCCCTCCTCCCTCTCTTCCTCCTCCTCCTCCTCAATGATGGGGAACCCGCTTTCCTCCACGGTCAAGACGCGAGGGGGCGTGGTCAGTCCCACGTAATGTGAGGTCTGGTCAGTTTGGTTCAGCACGTCCAAGTCCAGGGGGCGTGGCTCCTGCTTCATACCTATGTGTTGGTTGTGTCCTGTTTGTGCAGGAAAAAAAAAAAAAAAAGACAAACAATAAAAATTTGAATAAATAACAATTCAAGTATGAAAGGATGTCTATCTGTTCACCGGGGTGGATCCAGAGAAATTTTCTGATTGTCTTCCAAATTATCTTTGTTTACCAATCCTCCAGTTTTGGCCGTCTTCAGAAAAAAAATCATTATTCCCATCAATGTTAACTATAGTTCTATTCTATGCAATTAAACCACCACAAGTGCTACACAGAGATGTAATTTTTGCGATCCTAAAAGTATGTATCTGAAAGTTTAATAATTTTGGCACATTGAAAAGATCCAGTTACTACCTTAACCTGCAAACACCCGAATTTTACCTGCAATGACAATTCTGTCTGGCACTTTCATTGCGTGCCTGACATCTCTGTGGGGGTCCTCATTGTTCTCTTGGTAAGTAGGGTATCCAGACTGAGGCTGCGGGTGCATCTGGATTCTGTCAGGAACCTGTAGGGAATGTTTGAGTGAAAGTAAGTGGTGGAGAGAGAGAGAAAGAGATACTATCATGAAAACTTTTTAAGTTTCACTAACATTTGCTAAGATTTTAAGAATTTACACCAGAAATATCTAGTTGACAGCATATCTTTATTCTAAATTACATGCAGTTTTAGCCTAAAATTAGGGTTATCATCATAACACTTCAACTGGAAGATTCCTTTTGATACACAACTAAGATAGGTGAATCCTAAAAGGCCCATGGTTTTACCCAAATTGATTTTAAATTACTTGTGACACAGAAGTTCAGAGACAAAGTTGATATTTGTAAGGGTTTACCTGCATCTTGTTGCTAATCTCTGCCGTGAACTGAGGGTCGTATGACAAAGGTGCCTCATCCTCATACTCCGAGGGCATGTGATACTGTGTGCTGGCTGTGGACATGGTCACCGGGTTCACTCTGCTGAAAATACAGTCTATGTGTAGAATAAAACATGTTTAAAATAAGTTATAAGCAGCCTTTTACTGATAGATTCATAACGAAAGATCACCCAAACTGACTTGAGATTCTTTGTGACATGAAAAGCTGGGTCTATACTGAGTACATGTGTCAGTGCTCTGAATTCACTCTGCTGAAGTAGATATGTGTAACCAACGTCATTACTTATGAGACTAATGTTTCGTGTACAATGTACTACAATACAACTACAACAGGTATATATAAGCCAGGGACACTGCAATATTGTCCACTTCTTACTCAGCTGATTCTGCATGCATGTGTGTGTATTTCAAAACAAATACAGGCTCATACGTGTGTGTGTGTGTGATGACTATGCAACCTGATGAGTCAGTGTCACTTATAGTTACGTCTGTTGTTGACTGCATTGGTAGTCAATAGTTGATATGGTTGACTTCAATCGTTATATTGACTATACTGACAGTGATAATGGGACAAACAGAATCAGCGTCTTTCACAGTTAAGATGGCTCGTAAGATCGATGTACCGGTACATCTGCCTTTAAACTGCTTTTAAGAAAACACTGTATATGAAAGCTGCGTCACTTGATGCACGTACGAACTACTGAAAGAAACTTTAGTTGTTATCATTTGCCGTGGACTCGCTCAATGACACAAACTGACACCGACTTCAAGTCTCAACGCCAAGGGTCAACGCAACTTCAAGCACGTATTTCAAGACCGATTTAAACCACCAAGTTCCTTGGAGTATGCGGCAATATTGCTGCTTAAATACCCATTACCTTGTATAGATGTAGTTTCCAAGTGATCTTTACTTCATAAATAATGCTGCATTTTAAGGAATTTTTTGAGATAATTATTCTTCCTGAAGTGAATCTTACTGTGCACATGAAATGATGACGTCACACGTTTGTGAGTACACATGCGGAAGCGGGAATTGTGAGTTGTTTGTCAGTAGCTCGTCTATAATTTTGTTTCTGTAGGGAGCTTTTCAAAATTCAGAGAACTAAATAGATTAGCTTTTGAAAATTGCATTTGAACTGAAACAATACAAATAGCAATAGCGAAGGATATTGCCTCCAGATGATGAAATTAGCTTGAAAAATTACACGTACCCCAGCACCGACCAAGTGAGTCAAACATTCGTTTATTTATTGTTTTACATATGTTTATTTACCGAGAGACCTGTGCATCAATTTCACATTGGGTAGTGGCATGGCTGCCTTGAAACCGTCGACTGACCATTATTCCCTGTTGAAATATGCCAGGTGAGTGATAGTCTGATACCCCCCCCCCCCCCCAATATGCCGATAAACTTTAGTTTGACACATTCATGGAAAAAAAAAATACTTGCAGGTCCTCTGGCATTTCATGACCTGTGAAACGGACACTTTCCTCATGTCTTATTGACAAAATGGCTTAGTATTGGTTAAATACTAGCTGTATCGATAATTAACCATTGAAATTAAGACACAGTTTGAAACTTTCACAAATAAAATATTGCTTATTCTGTAAATATTACATATGTAGTTATTAAAATAGACTCAGAGCATAAAGCAGCATATCTGTGAGTAGGGATGTGTTAACCTGAAGCATGTCTTAGGTTTTGAGGTGGTCGTGTGCAAGACACATTCATATTTCTCTGTATTCTTGTTTTTCTTCCTATAGATATGTCAATTCTGCTGCTGATAATGGGGCAAAACCTCAATACTCAAGACAGAATGAGACCATGGAGTGGAAAGTGTGTACTCTTAGTGGCAAAATAAATTACTCACTTACAAATAGTTTTCCATGTATACTAATAAAAACACCAGATTAACTTGTATACTGGAGCAAAGAGTACATATATATAGCCAAGAGCATTGGTATATACTGTAACAGTTTTGCTTGAGATAATTAATTTGCTAATTTGCTTACTGAAAACAATCACATTTTGCATGTGCAGTACATGTACCTGTATGTGTTTTGGTGTCTTTGTGAAAGTCAAATTTACTAATTTCCTGTGTTTTTTTTCAAGTAGATATGTTCTTTTGGTATCTGTATCATTATTCTTTCATTTCTTTTTTATTTTGCTTCAGTTGCAGATGGCATCCAGTTGTCACTACAGCTTTTTACTGTAAGCCAGTTTTTGTTTTTTAGCATATTATTTACTTAATTGTCTATTTATTTTTATTTAATAAAAAAGGGAAGTTTGAGATAAAAAGGATGAGTGTAATTTAAACTATTTACTCAATAATATAGAAGATATATTAAAGTTTTATAAAAAAAATAAGAAGATGAAGAGCAGTTGTCAAAGAGGTTTAGAAAAAGACTCGGAACAGCCATAGCATGAGTTTCAGATTTTTACAACTTTCCAAGAACATTTAATGGTTTATGAACAGTGATATAAATTTTCAGTAAACTGAAACTCGAGATGATATTTGATTGTGTGTTGTAAGACCACGTTCTTGTTTGTTTTCAAATTGTATTTGATCCAAGACGTTGTAATCATTGCAGTATTATGAAGCAACAGATGAAAACCCACTGACCCTGACCTTGACAGAGAGTCAACAGTTTGTGATATCATATGGAAACAAAATTATGGTGAGTTAGTTAGTACATACAACATTGTTAAAGGACCAGCATATTGTCTTTTTACTTATTTAAATAAGATGTTTGAATGTGAGAAATAATGGATAGTATCTTTGTTCTTCCTGTCCCTTCCCTTCATGGTTCACAATAAAAACCAGTGGAAAGCAAAACAATATTTTTCATGCAGAAGAAAAAGGTGTCTAAAGTATCTTCCCACTCGTTCATACGTGTACCACCCTCTCTGCCACCTTAGTAAAAAATTTAACTCTGCTAATTTTCCATAAATTTTCTCTCTGTCGCTTTCTCTCCATCCACCTGTCTCTTTCTCTCTCTCAATCTCTCTCTCTCTCTCTCTCTGAGTCTCTCATTTAATACACTTGGTAACAGTTAAAGACCCCACACCTCTTTCCCCCTCTCTGTCTACACGTCCCTCCCCCCTCTCTCTCTCTCTCCCCACCTCTCTCTCTCTCTCTCTCTCTCTCTCTCTCTCTCATTTAATTCACTTGGTAACAGTTTCAATCCCCACACCTCTATCTCCCCCTCTCTGTCCACACCTCCTCCCTCCCTCCCTCTCTCTCTCTCTCTCTCTCTCTCTCTCTCTCTCTCTCTCTCATTTAATTCACTTAGTAGCTGTATAAATCCCCACCTCTCTCTCCCTCTCTCTCATTTAATTCACTTGGTACCAGTGCAGTGTCAAACCCCCATGCATTTCAGGAGAGCCACTACCTGGTGGGCAGTTACACCTGGCTGAGGGGAGTGTGTAAGGGGGACAGTATGATGATCCTGTGTAAAATACAGGTAATTAACATTTATCAGTGAAACACTTTATTATTTGTACAATTTAATCAATATATTTAATTGAAATTAATTAAATGAAATTGTAGTTTTCTCAGTTATATTTATTTCTTTGATTCATACCTATGTTTTTTAATGTCCAGTTTTAAGTGGGTAGGAACGAGGTGCAATTTTGGCAGTAATAATAATATTAATAATAATTTTGTTGAGAAAAGATCAAGCACTGACTAGCCCCCAATCTTTATATTTTTAATATGCACAAATATAATATGTCTAATGCTTAAACCCTTATTGAATTTTGAAATTTACAGAATGAGAGTCGCAAGTTCCGGCTGAAGTTTTCAGGCACAGAACTGTGCAGCGGCACCCAGCAGTGTGCTAGCTGTACAGCAACACTGAGGAAATATTTCCCACTGAAGGCTGAGGGGGATCTTGAAGCAGTGATGGCATTTGAGGTTTGTCACTTTGAGCTGCCTTGAGTACTAGAAATCACTAGAAATTGTCCTCCAGTTCTTCACTAAAATGCAGAAACCAAGAAAGCTGTTTTAAAGGGAGGGGTAGGTTTGCCAGTGTCCTCCTCTCTCGGCATTTTTTGGCCCGATTCCCTCTTTGTGGGAACCCAAAAAGCTGTTACATGTACTATTACAGAGAACATGGTAGTACATTCTTGCTAGACTGTACTTGTGCGTGGTTGATATCACAAGGTGTCACACTCTAGGTAAAAAACTGTGAAGTCGAAAGGTTTCATACTATTATTTCCCTTCATTTCAGGAATGTATAGCAAAAGAAGACATGGATCAGGCCAGGAGTCTGGTGGGGGAAGTGTCAGTGGCTGACATGGCTAAGGTAACTGTCTATTATAAACTACATGTATATATATATATATAGCTGCAATAACCTCCAGCAGCCCCCCCCCCCCGCCCCTGTACAGATCCAGTGACTGGATGGAATGTTTGAAAACTTTTGTCTCTGTTGCAGTATTGCCCCCTGAACTTCATATCACATGAACTTGATAAGATTGAATCATTTTTTGCATTGTGATGGTAATACAAAACCATTTTGAAATACAAAATGTTAAAAATATGAGTATAAAATAAATGTAAAATATTAATGAAAGGAATGTTACTGGTACAGCAATTCTTACTGCAGCATGCTGATATTAAAATAAAGGTTGTGCTATCATGCTAAACATATTATTATTTTTATTAAACCTTCAAAGATAACAAATAATTTATTATAATAATAATTTTCATTTTCTTCATGCCAGGCTCTCAGTGGAGAAATGTTTGCCAGCCTTCCTCTCTCCTATCACCATAGCAACATGCCTCAAGAGGAGCTGTCCACCGTACTCCGCCTGTGCCTGTCTGACAGTAGCTTCCCGGCATTTGTGGGACAAGTGGAAGCAGAACTCAAGAATATTGTGCAAAACAACAAGCATTCATAAGAATATATCTTAGGAGTTTGTGCAGTCGTTTTCTTTTTTTTTTGTTTCTTTTTTTTTTTTTTGTTCCAGGTTGACCACGTGACTACTGAGTAATTTTTGTTGTTTTAACAAAATTGTGAAACAAAAGGACATTGGTTAGAAGAAACAAACCAATGTAGACTTATCAAAAATGAATAAAAAAAAGTGAATAAATAAATGATTAAAAATAATAAAAACATCTGTTACTGGCTACAAATAAAACTACCTGTAATAAAATGAAAATGTTTACATCATTTTGTGTTCTTTTTTTCCCTCAAAAGTCTACACTTTGCAGATTTCTTCAGCATTTTTGTAATTATAGGTTGTTTTACACCTCTAACTGAATTACAGTATGCCATTTTCCCTAACTTGTCATACTGGGACATTTTGTATACTTGGTACAGTGGCGGATTTGGGGGGGAGTTCAAGGGGTCTTGATGCCCCTTTGACTTAAAAAAAAATCACACCAATGGTCCCCTCTTGAAATTAGAATTTTGACTTGTTCAATCATATAGTTGTAACCCATGCCAAATGGCACTGATCGCCTTCTAAAACGCCAAAATTTTTCAGGGCCCGAACCCTACGCCAAGGGGGCGGGAGAGGATTGGCCTTGCACCCGCAGACACCCCTTCCAATAATCCTGAGTGGATGAGAACACAGCTGTTCACACCTTGGCGGTTTCAGATTTGAGTAGTCTATATGCTCTTTCAATTTTGACTTTGGAGTTGCTCCGGGTACTGTATGAACATATGAACAGTCTTGAGGCGCAGGGAGCCAAAATAGGAAGGGGTGCATAAAAAGAAAAAAAAAAATACGGCTGGTAAAAGCAATGGAGGCAACGCGCCTTTTATAAAAATTAAAACCTTTTCTCTGATAATCCAACCGAGAAAATAGCACATTATTGATGAAATTGCAATATGACAGGCAATAAAACCTCCGAGAAGATGTCATTTTTTTTTCTGCTGAACTCGGTTAATTAGCAGGTGGTATGACGTGGTGTTATACCTGAAGCTATACTGAATCAATTCAAGTTCGATCGGAACGTTCCTAGTTAGTTGACTTCATATGTTTTCATTTTCATTTTATTTTTGCACTGAGATAATTAACGTTTGGTTTCACCTTTGACGTTATAGAGCACGATGACAGGGACAGCTGTTCACACTTAGGCGATTTTAGATTTGATTAGTACGTCTTTGCTCTTTAAGTGTTGACTGTGGAGTTGCCCTGAGATCCCCTTCGATTTCTGAAAAAGTCACACCGATGGTCCCCTGCTGGTATATGTCAAAATACTGGCTAGTATTATTAGATTAAAAATATTTAAAAATAGATAATTAAGAGAAGCTGAATAAATACTTTTGGCCTTTTTTTTAGATAAATTCAACCGAATTATGTTGGTACATATGAGAGTATACGGCATACAAGATTTGTGCTACTATGGTGCAACTTATAAATGTTACATGTAGATGTTTTTAAAATTGCTTTCGTTTTCACTTTCACTTATCAATTTTCTTGAAACTACTACAATAATATCAGTACAAAATACCGGTATAATGCATGCATTTTTGACAAGTCATATAAAGTGGCCCATTGACCGGCCCGATATCAGTCTCGATCCTTTCATTCATCTAACAAAACGTCTATATGCACAAAGGTGAGTGCCTGTTTCTTATATTTTTTCACATTTTAAATCAATTATTTTGTTACATCCTTAAGTTGGTACGTGGCGGTAAAGACAGTGTTATAAAACTGAGGGTTTTTGGGAAAGATGGACAGATAATATGACACGGTTTAACTAATTTAGGTAAGGAACTTTAATCCCAACGACAAATTGCCGCTAATTTCGCTTTCTTCCGTTGTTATTTTCATCACAAAAGAGTCGGGAGTTTTGTTGATCTGCGGAAACCACGCCTCCGGAATTCCTGCCTCGTTTTGACATCGTTGAAAATTAGGTCAAACCCGCCATCTTTAGGGAATCCCTCTGCGTGGCAAATGTGAAATTTATGTAAAACGACACAAAATGTCCAGATATCTTTCAGATCAGACGGGCGGAGGATGAGGCGTTTGCGTCAAGGTAAATGACTTAGTAATAGGGTATTTAGTTACATATATGCACTTATAAGTAGTGACAAACAGTGGGGAGATGTTACGGAAATTTTGAGGTTCTCCAGGGGTACGTCAGTGTCGTCACTGCCACTCAACTACGCAGGTGCTTGAAAAAAAGAAAGATAGCTTACAAATAGTATGTTGTGCAGGTTTAAGACATAAAATGCTGGAAACAGTACTTGTCTACGTGTCCAGGAATGACCTGCAACTGCATGATTGAGACTACGGTAGGGGATCGATGTTGGGTGAGACCCCCTCCCCCCCCCTCCCAAAAAAAAAAAGAAAAATAATAATAATAAT